TTTCCTAATGACCAAAGTATCAGTAAATCTCTCCATGAATGATGATCAACATGACGGTTTCCATAAGAAACAACTCATCATGCAAAAAGAACAGGCAACAGGGAGAGTGGTTAGTGCTCCTGCCTTTTTTTTTTTTGTTTAAGCAAAAACAGGTGAAAACTTCTAAACATCGACACACTTGCACACCCACATTCACACACACGAACGTCAACACTAAAGACTTTTGGAAGGCTCGAAGATATTTCCAGACTTATTTCTTCTGGGCAAGGTTAAACAACACACAAGAACAAAACACATTCCCAGTGGGAAGCCAGATGTCCGAGCCTATTACATATCATCCACACACAAACACTAACACACATACGCGAGCAAGGACACTACGAATTCCAGCAGTCTCAGACGTAATGCGTACAAAAATGTGCAGCCCATATTGAATAACACACGCTGTGTTCTGAACACGTGTGATGTGCAGCCCATATTGAATAACACACGCGTACACAACGTGTTCAGAACACAGGGTACAAACCTCACAAGAACTATCTTTTCCACAATTGCATGTATATTTACTTCGTGCTACGATATGCATGCTTTCGCAGTCAAAGCACAGACACAGGAATGGGCCCTTTGCCCCAAACAGTTGCCACACGGTGCAGCACAATCCAAGTGAGTCGGTGCAGGCATACATGTAGAAAACTTTTGTGGAATTGTTAGTGCAGCCAAAGTTACAGACAAGCACAGGCTCATTTACTAGATTTGAAAGGTTATGCTCACATTCAGGGACCGTGTGGGTCCAGCCTGAAAAGAGCAGATATTTTACACTGACACTTGTATACAGACGGACCATTCCACAGATAAGGCCAATAAAAGTGCACAATCTCAGAGTAAATGTTTGGCAAGAAGAAGTAAAGACGAAGGAGACGGATGGTCTGGAGCAGAAGTTCATCGATGGGACAAACACACACACACACACACACTGGTTTTTAGGGGTTCTGTGAGCACTTCACATAAATATTGTGCATTCCCCTACCACTTAATTATTAACTATTAACTATTACAAATACATGCATAATCTTAATGCATGCCCTACATTTAATTTCATATTTTGAATTCAAAATACCCTCTAACTCAGAGTAGTCCTATAATAAGAATAGGATTTCCCTTCAATGTCTCAAGTACAGCTTCTGAGGACTTCAGATACTGTGGATGTTGTGGACTATTACAACCATATCCCTAATCTTAATCTCTACCTAAACTCTAATCTGACGCTACTGTAGTTGTAATCCTTACTCCTAACCCAATACTCAAAACCTAAATACTCTCCTACCTAGTGGGGGCGCTGCAAGGTCTCCCAAAAAGGAAAGGTGTCTTCTTGACGATTTTGCAGTAAAACATGTTGTTTGCCAAGAAAATACACACACATACACACTTTAACCATTACAAACGTATGCCTAATCTTAATCAACACCCTAACTCCATTTTTTTTAACCTGGCCATAATGATAATTCTAACTCCAAACTAAATTTAAAAATAAAAAAAGCTCTTCCTGAAAAGTGTCCCCACTAGGACAAAGGGCCTTAAAACCAAAGTATTTTAACAAGAAAATGCCCCTCACACACAAATTAGTGTTTTTTTTCACTCGTCTGTTTTTCATTCACAAATTTAAGGATCACCAAAATTTGGGGAAAAATGTAAGTTTACTTCTGGTGACACAATCAAAATGTATTTGAATTTAACTTTTATTTGTTTTGTAACCCAGGAGAATAATCACTGCAAGTCTGCATCTGGCATTTTTTTTATATAAAGATACTTGACTTTCATGCTCACTCTGCTCTGATTTAGAAATTCCCAACAGCGTCTAGTCAGCCATTGTTTGTCATGTGTTTTCCTGCTGCAGTTCAGTGTCATATTTAATCATGGGTAGTTAATTTAAGGAGGTCAACGACGTCAGCAGTTTGGCCGGATTTTAACAACAGGGACAAAGACAGGAGCGAGACTTACTGGAATATTTGTTCTGTTATGATGTTAGAAATTTAACAAAACACCGAAGGATGCACTTTAAATGCTAAATATGCAAATGTCACTAACGTAATGGTAGATTATTGTTTTTGTACATGGCACAGACCTCTGTACCCTGGAGTGATGACACTACTATAAGCTGCGTGTTAATGTAATGCCTTTTTCTGTCTTTTAAATCACACTGCCTGTAACCTGGATAAACTTGTTCTTAAAGGCCTCTTTCTGTCTTTTAAATCACACTGCCTGTAAACGGGGAAAAACTTGTTCTATGTTGCGCAAGCACTTGAGCCACTGCACATATTTTACATTTGAAAAATCCCATGACACACTTTTCACAACTTACTTACTCCTGTGTGGAACCCGGGCCTGTGTAGTTGAACACAACATTGAAATGCTGGCAGGAATTGATGTTTTATCAAACTGCTGCCACCTAGTGGAAGAGTATTTAATTGCTCTCCACGTCATTGTCATCGCGTAGATGAACAGAGGCAAACTTTTTGCAGTAAATTACTAGTTTTTAGACCAACTGAGAAATTGATTGGCTCCCATGGTACATCTATTGCTCCCTCGAGCTAACAAAATAATAAATAACGACACATTGGCTGTTTCTGAAATGACTCACTCATTCCCTACTCCTTATATAAGGAATTATATGCCTTATATAATTCCCGGTATAATTATATATATTGCACTATTTAGTTGACTCAACGGTTAAATAAACAATGGTTATGGACACTACTTCAGCCCGTAGTTGATTACGATATCACTGTCGCACAACTGAATAGGACGGACGGATGCTGGTCCTCGTTCCGCCATACCGTCAAAACTGCAATGCATTGTGGGATATATTGCTTGGGTAGTGTATATCGGATGTGCACTAGGCTTTGCGGTGCATTGTGGGATACATTGACTGCCCCTTTTATAGTGGACAACTTCTACTAAACATACCACACCAATACAAATTGGTGTGCCCCCTATGCAGTGCACTATGTAGGGTGTAGGGGGCGGTTTGGGACCCAGCCATTGTTTTGCGCGTGAACACAAACTGTGTCAGTGCCTCTGAAATCATCCTAACCCCTGACCTTAACACATATACTGAATTATAGTTGCAGCTTATACTTAGATACCAAAATTTACAGAAACCTAATATAAGGACATTAGGAATTTTCAGACACAGCTCTTTGCTGGGACTGAAGGTGAGTGTGAAAGTGACTATGCTGTACACCAAGATATTCACAAATCTGGGTGGCAAGATATTTGGTCCCAGAATACAAGGCAAAGTACAAACTGTAGACCATCTATTCATCACCTAGTGGACAATTATAATATTATAAATTATTAAAGTTAACGATTTGTGGCATTTACTAACTCTGTTTATAGGCATATGGCAGTGAATAAAAACTAAATGCCAAATAAATTGGATTTTTGGTAAACTGATTTGACGTGTGGTAAAAACACAAGCGGAAGCCTTAGTAAAAATTGTTGTTGAGGATGGTTTGTTATAACCTATAATATATACAGTATATGTGCGTCTGACCTGTCAGCCTACATGCACTAGAGGAGCTCTTTAAAGGTGTTGGGATTGACAATACCACAATAATACCAGGATGTTACAATCGCAAGAGTATGTGTAACATGTAGTAGTTAACAAACAAGAAACATTAGTAATATTTTCAATAGAATAGAAACATCAACAGGTTATCAGAATTTGAAGATCAAGAGTCAATGACAACCGAGGTTCCAAAGCTTAATAAATGGATGGAGTAATTCAAGGTTTCCAAAGCGTGGTGCAGGGCCCACGTGGAGACGTAGCGCTTTTAAACATTTAAACATTTTCTCTGTTTGTCTCACAGTGAGGGGTAATTTTGTCATCTTGGTTCAATGAGAAAAGCTGGGACATGTTATGCAAAATTGAGCGTACCAGTGTTTTGGTATCTCTGAGATGTCCGCCTACTCCTCAAGTGCCAAGTTGGCCAACTAAGGTGCTCTATGTACTTTGAAAATCTGGAAATGTGTCTCAAAACAAGCCCTTTGGATTTCAACCACTTTGTGACCTCACAATGTGCGAGATTATAGCAATTATGCCTCCTGTTCCTGGTAGCTCATGTAATTTTGACCAATGCTTTTTACTGAGATTGAATTTAGACTTCAAGAAGCCATATCAATTTGCCTTTAAAAAAGTTCAGTGGAGCTTTGAAACAATACTGTGAATTTGTCAATGTGGGAGGGGCTGGTAACATTAGTCCTATTTACTAAAGGGGGAGCTGCATTTTTGATGTTCTCACATAGTGACCATTGTTTCATCAAGCAGTGCTGTACCTATGACTGGGACAGAAACAGTAAGAAATTTCAGAACAGTCACTTGATCCTGTTTTCTTATCACCTCCATGTTTCTACAGCCATAGAATCTCCTATATGAAAAAACATCAGTCAATATCTCCCATCTGTAAAGTGTGCACATGAATACACCGCTGACGCTCCGAAACCCTAACTGCTCTTATTCTTAATTACCAGGCTGACAGATTCATTGAGCAGCTGTTTCCTTTTCTCACAGGCATTTTTTTTTTTTTTTTTCAGGAGGTGAAACATTTGTGACTCTCCTGCTTGATCATAATCGAGACCAAGTGAAAAATGTTTTATTCAGATCTCTGCTCGAGAATCTAGTCTCGGCCTTTAACTGTAGCAAAAGCAATCTCTCAAGTAAGAAACTCTCACTGTAGGATACAGAAGACATGGGGAAGTTATGGATCACTGAGTTTTGAGTTTTGATGCTAGTTCTGAGCAGAAATAGTTATAATAATACTACTTTGCGTTTTGAGTTCCGTAGTATAAGTCGCATCAGCCTAAGGTTTTGAGTTTTGATGCTAGTTCTGAGCAAAAATATTTATAATAATACTACTTTATTTTGCATTTTGAGTTCCGTAGCATAAGTCGCATCAGCCTAAGGAAGAAAAAAAAGTGTGACTTGCAGGAGTTGCAAATACTGGTACACAAGCCTAGAGTGCCCTCTAGCGGCTGCCAGTGTGAAAATAACAAACATATGAAATTGTATATTTTAATATATAAGTCGCACTTGTGTATAAGTCGGAAACCCAGCCAAAGGGTGAAAAAAAGTGTGACTTGTCTAGTCCAGAAAATAGACTCGACTAGAAAATACAGCAATAATAAGGAGTTCCGTACTGGGGGAAATTTACAATGTGAGCGCAACTGACACAGGTGACCACAGGAGGCACCATTAAGTACAAGGTTGCAACTCGCAGGCTGCCGCACAAGAGGCACTATTAGGGATATGTGGTTCCTCTGGGAATCAAAACCAAGACTCCTTGCTCTCTGCTTGAGAGGCAGGCGTGCTAACCGCTGCACTACAGAACCATTAGTTATCAGTGGCAGTGGTCCAACCAGGATTTTATTATATTTATTAGAGAACACTATGCTTCACGCATGATAAAGTAAGACACTTCAGTGGTGTCCTCAGGCCATTTTCTGAAGTACTTCAGAGGCGCCGCTTCAGTTTTGACGGGAATCAATACCTTCCAACGTACCTTGAAATTCTTACATTTTGCTAGCATCAAGGGGTCATGGCTCACCACAACATCTAAACAAATGTTCTGCCACTTCAACAAAAACCAAGAGAACAACCCTGTAAATATCAACTTCAGTAGAAAGGCAAAGGTGCTAAGGAGTGAAAATGTCCCACTGTGACACAAAAATAAAAATTGAAATGAATTTCACCCCCTGATATTTCTCAGCGGCACTCAAGCGGGGCCTGCCCCCCCACCTTGAGAACCACTCAAAGAAATTCCCCTATAATGATAATGAGAGACTGTCATATTTGCCACTGTCCATGTTGTTAACGCAGGTCATAACCTCTCCTTGTTTGCTTAAGTGACAATCATTGACTCTGTAAAAAGAACAGCGTGTTTCAGGCGCATACCTAAAATAGAACTGACCTGGAGAAATGTTCAGCGGTTATCACTTCTGCAGTAAAGTTAAAACTCATAAACTCACATTTTGTTGGAGCTACTTCTGTTTGAACTAAGGCGATAGACAGAGACCACAGACTGTAAAACACAGTACTGATATGGTTTTTGTTGTTGCTGTTGTTTACTGCCGTGTCTGTTTGCCGACTTACCATTGAGTCCTCGTTAGCAATGAACACAGTACAAGCATGGGCTTGCATGAAGGACAGAATGGTTCCTGCGATCTTCCTCAGTAAGACCTCCAGACACTGCTGCTCCTCGAAGATTAGACTGGCCAGGTCCAACAGAACCTGAGGAGAAAACAGGATAAACAGACTTTGTCATCTGCTAGAATTTTTAACAATCACTTATGAATGTATTGAAAACTAAACATACAGTAAATGAAGCCTGGTATTTGTCAATCCATGCAGGGTTAAACTGATTATTTTCAATGATAATCTTGCATTTCTGCTTTGCGAGGGGGGCCATTAATGTATATTCCGCTAACTGCTTGTTGCTAGGCTGTGGGCCGCTCTCCTCCCACACCCCTGCAAAGTGAAATACTATTGAGGACCTGACAACATGTATATTTGTATCTGTTCAAACCACTGTATGAGTTGCTGCCACCTAGTGACTGGAGGCTTGTTATTATTCAAGTATTACAGCAGTGGTACACTTATGTCCAGTGTGCCATATTCCTGCCTGGCATCTCACCATGCACCCCCAGGGGGTCCCGCCCCACTGTTTGAGAAGCACTGAATGGGGGTGGGGGGGGCAACAATAGTCCTATCGTTCCGCAAAAAACGTTTTGGAAACACAGTATTGTAGTAATCAAGATTCAATTACTATGGGTGGCTCGATACAACTTTTTCATGTCCGACACTGGGACTGCAACTTGTATCTGCCAATACAAATATCAATCTAATACCTTATTTTCTCCTTCAGTATGCCAGTAGCTGCCGTTGCTGAGGCGATAGTGTCCCTGTTTACGGCATGTCGTGCGAATTTAAGTTGACCATTGGGCTTAGAACATGGGTTAGAGTAGTTTTTGTTGTCAAGCTTTGACTAATACTGGACCAATACCAGTCCTGAGTATTACTAATAATGTTGTCTATAATTGATGTTTTACCTTGGAGTCCTCTGAAAATATACTTTGCCATGATACTAGATAAGAAATGTCTTGTATGGACCGATAAGAAGATACCGTTGATAATGCTAACCCCTGCTCACCTGATTGCGTCGGTTTTCCAGCTGCGACGTCTCATATAGCTGAGCGTTGTGTAGAACGATGCCTGAAAAGGCCAAATAGGCTGAGAAGTCCTGTTAGGAAAGAACACAACAACAAGTGAGATCGGTGGAGGGAAGGGGAAGCTGAATCTTGACTTAATTCGGAGAGTCTGAACCAACCTTTTCATCCTGTTCTGTAAAAGCCCCGTCCTCCCCGCATTTTTTATTGATAGCCTGGGCCACACCGACCACCTGTGGACCAGAATCACGTTAAATTCAAGGGTGAAGAATTTACAACTACACGTCAAAGCTCATAGGGATGTGTTGTTATGATATACAGTGGTTCCATAGTGTAGTGGTAAGCGCGCCAGCCTTGCAAGCTCGGTTCGATTCCCAGAGGAACCACACACTCGGCACCTCCTTAAGGGCAGCCTGTTGCAGCAGATCTGCTGTTAAACAAGGGTTTCCCAATTGTCGGATTAATAAAGTTTAAATTATTATTATCATATTATCTTACCTCATCCCTGTGGTTCTTGATGGGGAGACAGAGGATACTCTCGGTTTTGTAGCCGGTGATCAGATCCACTTCAGCATTGAACCTGGGATCCTGGGTAGTATTTGGAAATGACAATACAATTATTAGCACATTAATGATAGTTTTGACCAAAAAACAAAAAACATCTGGAATTTGGCAGTTGTTAGCCGCCTTGACAAAGAACACTTTATGAGCCTGTGGCAGTTGGAGTCCTCATCTGTATTCAGATGCATGCAAACAACCCACTGCACCACCTACGCGTGGGGCGACTGCAGCTCTGATTTGCATGAGAAGTCTTCTGTGCACTGCACGGTTGCAGTAGTATTCAACACTGCAAACCTCAAACCAACAGTAAATATTGTAGTACTTTAAAGGCATACGAGGAGCAGTCTTCAAGTCAACCTGCGCGATGTCGCTTGAATAAAATCTTGAATTTTACCGTTGCATAAAGCAAATGTTAGGGCCTTTAAAATGTATATGTTTTGACTTCGGCGACATAGAGTCAGCTAACAAAGCAGAGGCTAACCTGCAATTAACATGATGATGATTTTATCCATGAAATCTGGTGTTAAAAAATGAAGAAAGATAAAACTCAATTTTCCAGTTAGGAAATACCTCATTATTAATGTATTATTTTTTTAAAGTGGATTTTAAATTTATGTACGTATATGACTAAAATCCTTTGTGTTTAAAAACTGAGGGTGTGGTTAAGACCAGTGTAGAGAGACACGTTCGGCTCACTGGAATTCTCCAGCTGGCTTATCGCCTACCCACCGGCTGACCTTTAAACACTCGGCTTGTGGCTGTGCATTAATTAGTGCATCTAAACTCAAGAAGAAGAACACAAAAACAGCTCACGGTGCAAATCGTTAGGTTTGTTTTGGTACAACAACACGGTTCCTCCTTCCTGAGCTTAACATTTAGATCCACCTTTTTTTAGTTTTGTAAATTCCCAATGTTAAGTACTTTAAGCAGCTCAGGCAAAATTGACACACAGAAAAAAAAAATCACATTATAGGATGCAGTGAAATTCAATGACGACTGCAGGAGGAGGATTTACTCTGCTACTGCTGCAGCTTACAGGGAAAGCATTGATAAGGACATCCCAGTCTGCACAGCACTGCACTCCAGTAAACAGAGAAGATGTGTGTGTGTGTCACCACACTGCTTAAATCAATGTAATTGAGCACAGTAATGGAAAGATCAAGATCCAATCAGAAAGCCGGGGAGTCCCTCAGATGACGCAGATGGACTTCCTGGAATCAGTATCAGGTTCAGCACACACACACACACACACACACACACACACACACAAACAAATACACGCTGCGTCATGCACGCTAAGATAATTGTGAATTATCTGAGATGATTAGTGTACGGCAGGATGCACACGCTTCAACACATTTTTATCTGTGTGTCCATGCACGTGAACTGACGCGTACAAACACACACACACACAAATACAACAGTGAGTCATCCACAAACGTGAGCATTTTAACCACTCTGTCACATGCATGATTTATGGCACAACATCATCGATACTGTGAACAATTACGCACGGTTTAGTTTGCTTCCCTTGTTTCGATCACAAACACATCAAGAAAAAACATTTCACTCACTCTCTCTCTCTCTCTCTCTCTCTCTCGCTCTCTTTCTTTAACTAGTCACATCATCAACTCCTGGTTGGCAGGCAACCGGACGGTACAGCACACAACTAGTAATCTCTCAGGTACACACTCACAATGTTAACAACGCAGGTTTATTAGTTTCACCTTTTAGTAGTTCAAATGACTAGTAAAAAAATTATAAAATAAATATTGTAACTACTAGTAGTTCAAATGACTAGTAAAAAAATATAAATATTGTAACTAGTGATTAAAAAAACAAATGCCATACGTACAGAACTGTGTTGACGTCATGTGACCTGCATTAAGAGACAAACCTTTGGAGTTTTTCGAAGGGAGGAAACTATATCGTTGTATTTTATTGTACATATATTGTAATATATGTATATCATATTTTCTAATATACTGTATAAATAGCTAGCAAATCCTTCATGGAGGAGTTTTGCGTTCATCCTATTGCTGTATGGAATGTTAAAATAAGAGGACAAAGGGCACACTCACACTAAGCTACTAAAGCTAGTTATTCTTTACCGAGCTGTACCGTGGCGCCAATTCACACCCCTCCCCTCTCCACCACTCAACCCCAAGCGAGCTAAGGCCCAGTTGGCTCCGACTGTGTGTGACTGTTGTTTAAATGCAGTTAAAGCCGCGATCACGAGCGAAACCGGCAACAGCGGCTGCAATGGCTGCTTTGTGACCGTCGAAAAAGGTCAGCCGTTTGATCAACACGATGCAATTCAATGTCCTTCATCATCGGCTTTGACTAATGGGAGTTTGACTAATGCAGTGACCTTGAGCGACGGCCCGAGAGTCGCAGCTCTACAGATGCAAACAGTTTGAAAAGAGATGGAAAAATAAAAAGCATGTTAACCTTTAAATACAACCTTTACATATTGAATATATATTCAATATTCATAAAACCCACACTCAATGGACTTCATTCTTTGAAAAAATTTCACGTTCAGTTGCCTAACTCTTTAACATTGACCATGACCTGGATGACTGAGAATCTTCATAGACATATACACTCAATTTTACACAAACTTATACTTGCAATACAAAGTAAAACAGAATAACACATGTCATGTCATAACTGTCCTGCAGTGGGTTACATTTTTTTTTAAATATATAACCCAGTAAATTTAATGGATTTTTGTTGGAAAATAGATTTTGCCAGTTTAGATGAGGTCACTGAGCGTTTGCACACAAACAGAAACCAAACACAGGATTCCAGTTACAACATACCTTCCTCGCTTTATCTTTCTCTCTCTCTCTCTCTCACACACACATACGCATACACACATAAACACATATATGATTCTTTATTGCACTATAGTTTAATGAATCTGTGTAATAATAGATCATAATATATCATACTGAACAGTTTAATGACCCTGGCTTCGTTTATGTGGCTTTTATTACCCAGCTGTGTACACTGACAGCAACACACTAAAGTCCACTGCAGTTAAACAATACCAGTGTTCATATATAAATATATATACATATATATATATATATATTAGGGATGCACTGTAAATTCTTCTTCAAAACTGAAAACCAAAAATGAGAAAACCAAGGCCGAAAAAATGCAGACTGAAAAACCAAAAGAAATGATTATACTAATTATTAGTACCATTGCATTTATGGCTACGATTGTGAACTAAACCTCAATAAAATAAAAAAGGCACTGCGATTGCATATATTAATATTGATGTTATAAAGAATAAAACAATTACAAATATTTATCTAGCACATTCCAACAATGCACAATATAAAATAAAATGTTAAAACTTGAGTCCACGTATGTGTACATTTAATGATAATGTAAAGGCCCACCGGCCTGCTAAAAGAAATTCATAAAAACATAAAGTGCATTTAAGTCACATGCTGGATCATTTCTCGCGCGTGCTGCTTTATTCCCCCATCCAAGCAATGACCTTTATAACGCGTATAAAGTGCAGAGGATCAGAAGAGATGTCAGTGAAACTTGTGCTGACACACTCTATGAGTGGACTTTTCATTGTTTTCACTTTGTGGTCCGTCTCAACCTCTTTGCTTGGAAGAAGCTTTAGTGCTGCAATTAAAGGAATAACATCTGCTACAGATGCATCAGAGGAGCTGATCTCTTTAGTTAGCTGCTCAAACGGGGCAAGAAGAGGGAGAATGCTCTGTATTAAGACCCACTTGTCTTCGCTGTATGCCGCAAAGACTCGTTTTTATTTTTGTGCAAAGAGGCTTTCCTGCCTCTCATTTTCAGCATAGCAATCGGGATGTTTGAATTTCAGGTGACAAATTAAACCCGACTTGGAGAATTTTTTTGCAGATGCACCCCTTCTTAATTTTTTTTTGCAAACGCTATCCATGGGTCTTTCTCAGATATATTGAAATACGTCCACACTGCAGACATGTTGGCACTTTCGTTGTGGTTTTTGCTTGCGTCATCAAACCGAAAATGCACTTTTGGGCCATTGAGATGAGAGGGGCTTAGTGGTTAAGTAAGCAGACTTGGGTTCAGAAGGCTTCAGGTTTGAGTCCGCCAGCTGCCAAGTTACCACTGAGGTGCTCTGAGCAAGGCACCGTCCCCACACACTGCTCCCCGGGGCGCTTAAAGCTGCCCGCTGTTCACTTTGGTGATGGGTTAAAAGCAGAGGTCACATTTGGTTGTGCGCTGTGCTGTGTCACAGTGACAGGTAGTTCACTTTCCACTTCCGTGATAAGATAAAGATGATTAGATGATGAAATACTGCAGTATTTATGGGTCATGATAATAATAGATATAGTAATAGGTCACGTGGGGTGACAAATAAACCTTCCTCTTAGCTTCCTGTTGCAGTGCTTAGCAAAAATACATTTACATAATAGTGATCGGTAACAAATGCGGCTTTTCCATTTGAACAGCTCTGAGTCGACAGTGCAGACACAACCGTTTGCATTAGAGAACAAAACAATTTAGCCATAAACTGTGCAGGAAAAGAATGTAATTTTTGTTTTTTTTACTCAATATATATAATGCTATAAGAAGTAGACTTAACATTCCGGCACCAGCATGAAGTGATGTCCAGTTGGACTATGCGACAATTATGAAAAGTGCACTATTCAATTGAAATTACGTCACGTTGTGTATAACCTGTGACCCAGATAAGCCATTGACTATAAACCGCAACCATGCAGTACTTGAGCTGCAGCTTTATTTAGTACATCAGACGTAAATCAAGTGCAACCGGTTTTATAAGGTTGCTAATTGCTGTCCCCAGGTCTTACAGGGTGTGACAAATGTTCCCTCACTTCCTGGTCAGTTCATTTTGTGCCATAGTTGTCAGGTTTGCTTATTATAATGACTTTGGGCTTGCCATTGTCTATATAAACATCAAAACTTATGGGTTATGGATTTTAGTCTTTGTTTGCAAAAGTAGTTGCTAATTCAGGCTTACTCCTGTGTGTCACGTATCGGTCTGAAAAACAAAAATGTCTACAGTAGTTTGTTCAGTTGCATTTACTAACAACTAAAGAAGGGCTAAGGCAAGGTTGACACGCCCCCGTGAGTCTGATTGGTTGCCCCTTGTTACCACTATCGTTAGTCTTCTGTATGATCTTCAGGTAAGAAAAAAAAACTGGGTGTTAGATATTAACCTTTTGCCGATATCCGATATGCCGATATTGTCCAAACACGTAATTTCCGATTCCGATATCAACCGATATAAATAAATAAATAAAATAAATAAAAATAATTAAATGAGCTGCATTATCGGGTCTTCAAAATCGGATGGAAAACCGGAGGATAACAGATATTACAAAATGTGCTAATATCAGGCTGATATTATCAGTCGCCCGATATTATCTGACATCACTAAAAAAACTCCTCCCCCTCTCCAATCGGTGTCACTACAGGTAATACTAACGATTTGCGAAAAAATAAACATGTACTAACATTGCTAGGAATAAAGTAGCTAAAAATAAACCGCATACCGGCTACAGTACAATTTTTTGTCTAACTATTTTAAGTCAAACAATTGACCTTTGGACAGTGCATTGGAAGCCACATGGCTTCTTTCCCTCTGACCCACTGGCCTAGAGACAGATTCTAAAGTCAGGATTGTTTGATCATTGACTGAAGCTGTGCAGGAGTGAGCCTGTGTTGTAACCTGTCCATGCCCAAGGTCAATACTTCAAGTCTCAAAATGAAAAAAAAAAAAAAAAAGACAGATGCTCCAGATGGACCTACTTTGACCTACATGTCCTGCACACACACACTTTGTACTCTCACCCGCTTTGTCAGCATGAGCCACCAGATATACCCAAAGCTAACACTAGCCCGTGTAAGCAGACACACGAATCGCCTCACAGAGACAGTTACGTGTTCCCCGCACTCTCCCTGTTACTGTAAAGGAAATTAGAAGTACCTCGTATGCATTCTTGATATTGAGCGGCTGGCCCGTCGCAGCCACGTGTCCCACGATGCCCTTGTTCCACTCGAGGCGGATGCAGTTACTGGACGATTCCTCAAGCGTGGAGCCCTCAGCCACGTCAAACAGCCGACTCACCAGGAACTTTTTGTTGGAGCTGTCCTCGCCCACCTGAGATGATAGCATACCACAAAGTTTAGCCTTATCCAGGGATGATACCCTATATAAGTTGAAGACAATTAAAATGATAATGTGGGGCATTGGTGGCCTGGTGAGAGCTTAAGGAAGCAGACTTGTGTCCGGCAGGTCACAGGTTCCAATCCACCGGTGCCATTAGGTGCCACTGAGGTGCACTAAGCATGGTACTGTCCTCACTCACGGCTCTCTGGGCACGTGGTGTAAAGTTGCATCCTGCTCACTATGGGGATGAGTGAAATGCAGCGGACACATTTTGTTGGAGAACTCTAATATTCTCTTGGTTCTTGTGACTTATTTTAGGTAAAAATTAGATTTAAATTATTGGGAAGGAATCATAGACCAACATGTGCAACTCTTTTTCCTATATCTTACAGTACATTGATTACAGTGATTCAAACCCTGGAAAAACAATGTATAAATGCAGTAATTACTCTCTCACCCCCCTCACCCTCCCAACCCGTCCCACACACAGCCCTACCAGAAACAGCGAGTAGCGGTCGGCAGCAATCAGCTCGTTGATGTGGAGAAAGATCTTGTGGCAAAGTGCTGTCACATCCAGGTGACTCGAAACGTCCTTCACCAGCTCCAAAAGCCTGGCGCAGCGATCGCCCCCGCTGCCACCGTCTCCCCCACATCCACCGCCGTTGCCACTACCCGCAACGCCCTCACCCATCGCTGTGCCACGCAGGGGGACAGTCTCTCGGTCTGTGTCGCTCAGAAACGTCAGTGATCCCTCGGAGTCTTTAACCACTATGGGTCTGAGTGGGCGGTCAAATTCGGACGCAGAGATTTTGCGTGTAGGTGTCCCCGGGACAGGGCTGGGGACTGTGGCTGGTGAAGGACAGCGGTTGTCCAAGATGGTGAGAGTAGGCGGCAGGGTGTTTGAGATGGGTGTCGGAAGGAGGTCTGTGGAGGACAGGTAGGTGCGCTGCTGAGGAGGATTGTCCTTGGGGACAGATGGCTGGATGGTGTGGACACGCTCAGCAAACCAGGCATTCACCATCTCCCTGTAAAAGAAGACAGTTCGGATGTTGAAATAGTGAAATAAGTGAAATAAGGCAAGTTCAGTTCAATTCCAACGATCACTAAGGAACTTACTTACTTACTTGCTGTGAAGGACAGTTCAAAAACATTTTTGGTAGTAGAATACTAAACCTAATTAGCAAAAATATTTTTGTTCTAAATGCCTTGTTTCTGGAAACACGCAGCTGCACTTCAAGTAACTAAATCAGTGTTTACCAAATTTTTTTTCTGGGAACCCATATTTTAAAAATCACAAACCTTCGCGATCCAGGTCAATAGACATTATTCATAAACTCCTGGGATGGGAGACGATCCAAAAAAAAAAAATCTTTTGCAACCCACCCGAGGGCCGCGACCCAGTCGACCCAGAAACTAAATAGTTCCACTAAGCAAATTTATAGGTGTACTACATTAATACAGTTGTATTAGGACAAATACATCTTTGTCCTTTTTGTCGCAGGCTTCATTTTAATTTCAAGTGACAGCAAAGTTGGCAGTTTCAGGTGGAAAACTCAAACACGTTTTTTTCTTTGTCCTTCTGGTGAACCCCCTACTATATTGTGCAAGAAACGAGAAAGTCTGCACAGACAACAGAAGCAGTTGTAGCCTCCCAAGAAAGACTGAGCCCTGTACGACTAGTTTATCAAAACAAGACTAGAGGTATTCAAAAAAAAATCACATGACTACGTGCTGACATCTATTAATACTCACTTGTTTGGTGAGAGAAGTCAGTAAAACTATGTGATACTCCAAACATTGGTAATGGTTATATAATGAAGATATTGGAGATTCCTGAGAAAAAGTCTGCCATGCTGATATGGGAAGTATAACAAGTAAAATACTTTCAGTCTGAATAATAATCTAAAAAAAAAACAGATTTAGTGGCATTACAGCATTAAACCTGCAGCAGGAAATGAGCATCCAAACAGACTGATTAATGATTCATAAACTGTTCCTTTCTATCTGGTTCCAAAAGCCACTAATCACCCCGCAGTAATGCGTAATGCCCACTTTTAATTTAAAGTTTGCCAACATTAGCCGTCCCTGCGGAACGCAGTAATGAAAAAGTATAACAGGCTTTTGGAAGCAAAACAAGTCGGCTGAGGTCAACTTCTTTGTAATGGTTACAAAGGGAATGGGTTTGCTAAATTTGGGGGAGTTTCAAAGAGAGCAACTCGCTGTTTCTGTTCATGATACGAATCACTCCTCTGTATTAGAACCATAACCATAAATATTACATACCATACCTAAAACCACATATAAATTTACATATTATTAGCACTGCCTGAAAACATAACTGAGAATACAGGCATTTAGATTTTAGCAAAAAACACTGTATTATATATGTATTTCACAATGAATAAATCAAAGAAGGGTCCCATCATATACGTTCGGGTCGTGGAGACTGCTGCCCCCGCGACCCGGTAACGGATAAGTGGATGAAAATGGATGGATGGATGGATGTCTCTTATTTACTCATAAGACAAATGACAGAATTAGACAGGCAGAAACTACATCAGTGAAGGGACAGCAAGTTGGGGCAGTGGGCGTGGTGACCCAGAAAACAATCCTAGCAGAATTGCTGCCAGGGATTCATCAGTCAATAAGATGCTAATCCGGAATTTTCAGGTGTCAACTCAACAGGGACATTTTTTTTTCATTTTTGTCAACTAAATATGCTAATCCGGAATTTTCAGGTGTCAAATCAACAGGGACATTTTTGTCATTTTAAACGTAATGTTCTGTAAAGTGTCAGGAATAAGTTCCCAACCATCATACTGCGAATGTAATAATATTTGGTCCAAGTAATCTCAACAATATAACTGGACTACAAACCCCATGTCACTACTCAGTTTGAAATAATAACACAGATGCATTACACTCTCATCTATCATTCATCTTCTACCATTTAGTCCATTTCAGGATTGTAGGGTTACAGGGACCTAATCCCAACAGGCATTGGGCAACGGCGAGGTACACTGGACCACAAATCACATTCCACACCACGTTTCCGATTAACCTAATCTACGTGTTCTTGGACTGGGACAGGACAAAAACCCACGTGGTACACTGGACCACAAATCACATTCCATACCACGTTTCCGATTAACTTAATCTACGTGTTCTTGGAATGGGACAGGACAAAAACCCATGTACACACAGGTAGAACATACTCAAAACCCAAAGACCTTTTAACTAACTTTTCAATAATTCACATTATTAATCTGGTTAATCACAGGATAGCTGTGAATTCGTCACAGTTAATCATCATTATTAGGGATAGCAATTAATCATGATTAGTTACTTTTCCAATTTATCATGATTAATCGGAATAAGTCGATATTTTGTATAAATGACGACAAGCTTTTTTCTGTATGTTGTAGAACAGAATGATAAATTACAGCAGCTCCATGTTTTTGTTTGTTTTTTTTTTTGCTAAATTAAATGATCAAATCACTATTATGTAAAAATGTTGAGAAAAACATTTATGACATTTTTGGTGTTTTTCTCCAGATGAACCTTTGTTTTAACTAAATAAAAAACATATATGACTACATTAGGTATCTAATTATACTGCAGATTTTTGGTGTTCCACGGCTAGGCCAAAGCTCCGATCGCCTTAGAGAAAGGCAAAAACCTGGAGAGTATAGTGAAAACAACTTTCTCAGACATTAACCATCGTACTTTGGGCCAGGCTAAGCCTGGGCCAGGCTAATAAAAGTCCAAAACACTTTTAGAAGCAAAAGGAAAAGTGAGATGTTATCCATCTGCAGTGTCAGGATCACTCAGGCTGACTTCTCTTTACCCCATCACCCGCTGAGCTGCAGCCTCCCTGCAGCGCTGGATCATTATGTATCCCAGGCAGGTTAAGCTGAATCAATAGCACTCTTAGAAAAATGCCTCTCAACCAGAACGTCAGACTGGCTGACGTTTACGAGCGTCTCCGGCTGCAACAAGGACTTTTTCACTTTTCAATTGGTGGTCAAAACCTGCAGGAGAGGAAAGCCTTGTCCTCCGAGGGTCGTGTTTATGGAAACATATTACGGCCGTGATGTGACTGAGACTTCTGGTGTAAAAGGAACGCTGAATGAAGTTGCTATGGCGGGTTAAGTGGATAATGGGGTCTGAAGGGGTTTGTCGCTAAAACAAACAGCCCTAGAGTGTCTTGATGAAGTGCTGCCAGCCTGATGAAATGCCCAGAGCGGCCTGTGGCACGGACAAGGACAAGGACGTCTTACGTAGCCACTGAAAGGCTTGCAAATAAATCTTTTTTTTTCAAAAGAGCAACAGAAGAGGAGCAATTTTCTTTAATGGTGCACGCACATATATATATACGAGGGCTTGTATAATTATCACCGCAGAGCCGCTCAACCAAAAGCTGTGAATTAAACGGCCGTAAAAGTTAATGTTTAAAGGCCCCAGTGCGACCATCAGCGCTGTTACTGAGTGTGGACGGGGAAACGGAAGTGAGAAATCTGAGCCCTCGAGATGTTTACTGCAAATGTGGAGAAGGAAAAAGGAAATGCAAAGTTATGTGTGTTCCAATAATTGAACATACAGTATTAGCACTTTGACACAGTACGTAGAGCGCTTCAGTATCTGTACGTACTCTTGTATGTGCTGCAGTTACCTCATCAGTTACCTCATCAGTTCACACCAGTGTGGATTTTGGATTTAGTCCTCGTCCCAACTAAGTCAAAATTTTAGTTTCGTATTAGTCGACGAAATATCAAAAATATTTCAGATTAGATTTAGTAGACTAAAATGCTAAGCTAGGCCATATTAGCTCATATAGCTAATGCTTTGGTCCGCCTTCCTTTAGGGGAAACTCAGGATGACATCGCTGCAGCTAACACGACAAATTCGTTTTTATATGAAATATATCATATCATTCTACACCGTTTACAATCTAGGACAAATTGACCAGAGTATTACATTTGTGAAAATACTTCATAGTCGTCAGTTTTTTCTTATACCAGAAATACATTGTCATCTTGGTCCACATGTCACACTGTCTAACCAACAAACATAGTTTCGGTTTACATCCTAGAACTAGCTTTTACAACATTAACTAGTGCATCAATAAAATTCCTCACCACAATTTAACAAATGTCAATCATAGATTAATATTTAATATATAACGATTTACGAACAATTCAGCTTATGAACAGAATAGGGTCAATATGCTTATTCCACTAAACTGAAGACAGTTGTAATTCTCTCAAATATTTAGGTTTAAAGCTGTCTTTTGTTGCTAATTCATGTGACTGGCTTCTCATACTGAATTGTCCATGAATTGCATGAATTGCAGTCAACCAATTGTGATCTACACAGACAACCATGGACAGCTCGGTGTGTCCGGTTACCCTCATCCTGCTTGTTTTCAGACTGTAGGAAGGAACCTGGCTAAACCAAGGCACACGGCTACCACTGGGGATCGAACTACAATGGAACCACCAGATATGAGCGTCCTGACATACGAGTATTCCGAGATAAGAGCAAGTCTTCGAGCAAATTTTTGCTTGGAGATACAAGTAAAGATTTGAGATACGAGCACGCTAGGTGGCCGAGACGCATCTGCCGCGAGTCTTCAGTATTGTGTTTGCGTTATCTACGTGATTTTCTCTCTATTTTATGCATTATTCTTCATATTAGTGATGAGTTCTAAGAGAGTGAGTGGTAAGGATGACCATGGAAATAAAGCATGAAATTGTTGATACATATGAGTGTGATGAATATGGGAAATATGGGAAAAAATGATTTGAAACTGATAATGCTGGTATCTCAAGGTTCCACTGTATTGGGTTTCACGCTGTAAGGCAAAAGCATTAACCGCTTTACGCCGTGTGGCTTCTTCTGTCTCTTCACAGACAGTCAGGATATGACATAACTGACCTTTGCAGATTAGCCAAGAGGGAAACATGAATTCCTTCAGAAGGAATAATTTAATAACAACATAATGGATAAGCTCCAATTGGACAAT